ATAAATCTTTAAAAAGTATATAATGGAAGTTTCAGAAAACTCAGTCTCCCTATATATTTTCACTCTTTGCCTGAGAGTGTTCACATTATTGTGACATGTCACCTGAAAACAAGATTGCATTGCGATCATTTCATTGCGTATGTTGCCTCTTCAAAACAGTTTGGCATTTTCTCTTAGTATTGCCTCTTATTACAGCTGAGACACTTTCAGACCGCAAAATTCATCCCACATTAGCAGTATATATTATTACCTAGTCTTTCATATTCAAATGATCCGGCCCACGTGTACATTATGAAACCACAATTCCAAACAGATCCCATAGCTTCGCCGTTGGTTTAATTAGCATCATTATGAAATTTACATTCTCTAAAAAGAATATCTTCAGATAAATACATTCGTTCACATATAAAAAGTAGACAAGTTTCTCACCATCTACTGTGGCTTAACATGCAAGTCCTGAAGCTTTATTGCAACAGATTGTACAATATCACATACATGCACATCTAAAAATTACAAATCAACTGTTGAGATGATCTTTAGACAAGTGACTACGTACACCAGGAACACTGTATATAATTTTGACTGTTCAGCAAGGGTAGAGCTGAGGTTAGGTGATGGAGGTAAAACAGTAGATTAGCACCGATAAGTACTTAAGAAAAATAACTTACAAATGGAATACTCCTGAGGGTTAGTGTGATCACAGTAGTCAAATCAGTAACAATAACAAAAGTTGTACGCAAACTGTGATAGTTCACCAAATGAGGCAGAGTTCAAACATCCTTAGAATGAACATTCACATTTCTAACATTTCTTTTTCTATGTCCCTTCTTATACTGATTCTGGCACTAGTTTACAAATCCCTCATTATGTCAAGAAACAGATTCTTCATTACCTTGATTTGACTCTCCTAATCGCAGTCTAATAAAGCTATTTCTCCGTCCTCAAAAGACTACATTGCGATATTTATTTCTTACTCTAAAGCCATTGAATGCCAAACAAAACCAACTTACTGACACATATAGGGCATCCTGGAACAGTGAAAAAGTAAAGTTTGCAATTCCTATCTGTTTCTATTGTATTCCAATATTTACTCTTGCCAAAGTCTTCAAACAGCTGTAAAAAAGAGTCATTTGCCATTCTGCATAAATCAGCTCAATTTATTTTTTCCTAAATGCCTTGGAATATTGATTTATGAAGTCTTTGATGTCTCAAATACATAATTTACCCCTTTTGAAATTTCAAATAAATACCAAAAATACTTAAAAATATTTATTCTACCTTTCAGGCAACTTATTTTTTACACCAAAAAAAAAAAAAAAAAAAAAAGCCAACATCTGGTGTCTCACTTACCATTAGTTTTAAAACAAATTCACTCTGACTGAAACAGCGATGCCTTACAATATCCCCTTTCTTCCTATAGCCTCCCTAAAATAACTAAACACTTTTAACGAAATAAGCTCAATTATGAAAAGGCCTTAAACCTTCCAAAAGAAATACAGTGAACATCTTGAGATATTTTAAAACCATAATTTTTGAGGAGGAGAGCATTGGAGTTCGTTTTTCTTGAAGTTGCACAGTAATTATAGCCACACCTCTGGTACCTGGAGTTGCTGAAGCTTTTCCTTCTCTTCTCACATGGCAGCTAGATTATTGTGGAGTAATAACAATAATCCTTTAGAGCCAGGTAGGCTACAAGAATTCACTTGAAGCTCCAAGGAATCATTTGTAAGGTTACACTTCATGGAAAGTAAGAACACCCTGAAACATGTACACCTTAATTCATTTCAGATGGGTGAGTAGCAGGAGCTAGGGAATTATTTGGCTAGTATGGTTCAACAAAAGAAAAGCTTGTGGCATATTGTTCTTCAAGCAGCACAGCATTAATTTATAAAAAATACGTTCCTCATCAAAGGGACTGTTTTCTCTAAAGTATGGCACTGATTAGAGACTTTGTTTCATTAAGCCCATCCGTTAGATGTAAATAATACAGGAAAGAGAGTACAAGAAGAATAAATGTAATTGATGATATCTTGGTGTGTTACTAATCGGTTCTCAATGATTTCTTCATATGATGAGATTTAACAAAAATGCCTTATCTTATAGCAAAGCATTTCTGTTGCCATTTTAAAGAGAAGAATGGGAGGGCAGAATATGAATTCATTCACCAACAAACATTTGTAGATTTGCCCACCATATCCTAAGTATAATCATAAGTGCTGGGAGTATTTTTGTCTTCAGTTACTTATTCATATTTTTTATTACTCCCTTAAATTAGAATATTTATTTATAGGCAAGTTGGCGTGCATTCCATTCTTAAGTTTCCCCTTAAAGAAATAAGTATTCTTAATTTTTCCCACTGGGTTAAAAATATCATGTACATGTGTAACATTTTATTGTTACTCTTAATCATTGAATACTACTACCGGCACTAGCAGTACATGTGAAAGGAGGCTTTTCCCCAAGTAATCAGGACTGTGAAGCCTCCTACTCACAAAGCAACATTTTTACTTTTCTTCTCCTCTGGCACATTTTGTACAAGTTTGTACAAGAGATTGTTTTGAAAAGCTAAGAAAACAAAACTTGCATTAATTGAGCCATTCTTAAGCTGACCATTAACTGTATTTTCTTACTAATTATTTTTGTGTTAGGAAACGAGTACTATGCTTTTAAAAATCTGTTATCACTAATTTAAGCTGTGCAATTGTGCATCTCCTCCTTGGAAGCCTTAATCACTAATAGTCTATTAAATGTTGCCCAAAATGAGAAGTACAAGATGGAAAAACTACCCAGGTGTTTTTGACCAAATGTAAATTATCTTTCCTTTACAGCTCTCTCCTCTGATTTTCACCAAGTAACTTTTCAAACTTTTTTGAGTGTTTTTTAAGGATCTCAGATATACATATTACATCTATATGGAGGCAGATTTTTTTCTCTTTTTCTTTATGCCAGATATCCGTTTAAAATAGTAATAATTTAAGCATGTGTACAGTTCCAAAAATGTATTAAATGCTTACATTAGATACTTGGTGATTTTCGCCTTTGAGAAATCTTTATAAAATTTAAATTAAGTCAAAGCATTTGTCAAGGATGCAGCTAACAGTCATTATGTCAAGTTTGTAAATTAAAAATGAAAACATATAATGGATAAAAAATGGAGAGTATAGGCAATAAATAATTACCAGTGTAACTATCCCAAATTTTATTTAGAGCTTCATTATGTTCATATATTTTAATGTTCACAATAATATTAAACAAGTCATCTCACAAAATATGAAAACTTATCTCCTAGTTTTCGGTTTTCCATTTGTCAGTTAAAATGTAGATTACCTTGACGGTGTTCCAAAATTTTAGTACATGATCAAGAGAGTGTGCATTTTAATTTGTACAGCAGATTTATGCGTCAGCATGCTGTAGATATTTTTTCTCAAACTCATATAACTCATCAGTAAGGGATGTTGATCACAGCATTGTTTACAGTTGTAAAAAATAACAAGAAACATGTAAACCTTATTCAATAACAAGCTGCTTAGATAAGTTACAGTACATCCACACAATGGAATACTACGTAATCACTAAAGTAATGATATAGCTTGATATTTCGCATGAAAAGATGTTTATGTCCGAGTCTCAAATTTTTAAAAAATACAAAACAGTACACGTACTATATTCTTTGAAATGTGTAAGTGTACATATGATAAAAATTATAAAAGAGAATGCACGTACTAAAAGCATTAGTAGTGGTTATCTCTGATCTATGAGAATTGTCCTCCCTCTGCATTGTGTACACTTTTGACTATGAGCATATAGTATAATGAACATCAGTAAAAACAGAAATTTTCATTTTGAAATTACTTGGTAACAAATATATAAATAATTTATAAATAATTACATCAACCAGTTTATTATCATTATTTTATGGTCCAAGAGCTAACAAATGTATTCACAAAACTATTCATGTTTTATTATGATTGAGAATGAAGATTGCTATAAAAAGTAAGAAAGATCAACTTGCAGCAGAGACAAAACACTTTCTTATTCTTGAAACTATGGTGTGAGTGAATCATATTTTTTCAAAATAATTATTTAAATTTTACTTAAATAGTATATTTCTCAAATAGATCTGTTTTGATATATATTAAGAGTGAGGCAATGCAATACAACAAAAGATACATGTGTCCATGGATGGATAGCAGGGATGAGGGATAAGGAGCTGCAGGTGAAATCTGAAGCATCTGTAGTGTAAACATTAAAGGCTACATAGCAATAAAGCAGAATTTCCAATCAAGCAACTATGAAGAACCGTATGAAGAATCAGATTAGATTAATGGTTCTCATATAATGGTTGGAGGTGTATGACTTTATCCAGAGACAACCATTTCCTCAACTTTAAAGCAAATATGAATGTGGTAACATGGATACATTCAAGCATTTACGCGATAATGACAAACTTAATGGAAATTTCCTACAAGGCAGTTTTTCGGTATCACTGAATGGATTATTTATCTTTTATATTGACATTAGATAAAAACTGAAGGTGGAACATTAAATTTTCTGTAGGCAAAGGCAACTGAGTGAAGTTAAATAAACATGATCCCAAATATACATACGAAGGGGATTGGAAAAATGAATTACCCATAGTGTGTCCACGGGAACAATTTTTAAGATTCAACTCGTGACTGAAATAGCCACTGCCTGAAGTGTTACTTTCCTAAGGTATTGGTTGAGAAAACAACTATATGCTCACTTGTCTGTGCATGAAGCTTGTAAGTCAGCTTCTAAAACTTAATCAAAGCCACTATTAAACCTGTGGTGTTTTTACAGTATTTTTAAGAAGAAAAAAAAAAAAAAGAAAAAAATGTACATCTTTTTAAAATAAAAACATTCACTTAAATAATAATTTAAAGTGATGCTACATACAGATGTTCACTGGACCACTGTCCTACTGCTTATTCAATAATCAAGTTAGAAATCTTGGCTGTGACAGGTTCAGAAATGAGGGTCATGCCGAGAATTACTGAAAAAAAAGGGCAGAAATATACACAATGTCCTCACCTTGAGCAATAAGGGGAAAATGCAGCAGAATAAAGTTTATTCTACATATTCCTAAGGATATTATATCAAAAGATAGTACAAAATGACAATTTTACAATTAGAAATTATGCTCTTCACTAAAATGAACAAGGCTTTCTGATTTCACTTTTTTTTTTTCAAAAGAAAGTATTCACTTAGAAAGAAAAAGAGCAACAACTATGAATTGGCGTAAAACAACCCCTTATCACAAAGGAGCCCAAACTAAGTAGGCACCGGCTAAGGCTGAAACAAATGGAACATTCCTGATCTCACCACCTGCGTCTGGCCTGGCCAAGGGTGACATGCAGGGGCTTGGAGCCCACTACGCGACCATTCATCTCATCCACCGCTTTGGTAGCCTCTTCGAAAGAAGAGAAGCACACGACACCAAACCCTTTGCCATGCCCCACTTCCATCATCACTTTGGCCCGGCTAATCGATCCGAAGGAAGAAAATTCCTCCTTCAATTTCTCATCATCAATGCTCTCATCTAGGTTTTTAATATAAATGGGCACACCCGGAGGGCGGCTCTTTTCTTTTAATCTCAACCTCTCAAATCTCCGCCTTAATTCAGCCAGGCGTTCAATTTTCTTCTGTGCTCGCCCCACGTACAGGGCTTTGCCGTCGATGGACTTGCCATGCAGGTCCAGCACAGCCTTTTGGGCGGCCTCGTGGGTCTCATATCTCACAAATCCAAAACCTTTGGATTTCCCACTGGCATCTCGTATTACCTTGACACTCTCGGTTGGCCCATATTCACTAAACAGTTCCTTCAGTTTTGCGTCATCCATGTCATCACCAAAGTTTTTAACGAAAACATTCGTGAAAGTGGCCCTATCCCTGGTTCTGACCTCCGCTGCCCGCTCTTCCGGGAATTTGAATCGGCCGACATACACCTGGCGGTTGTTGAGCCGCACTCCATTCATGTGCCAGATGGCCCTGTTGGCAGCAGCCAGGCTGTCAAAATGCACATAGGCATAGCCCTTAGAGCCATGGTCATCGCTTACCACTTTACAGGACAGGATGTTCCCAAAAGCCGAGAATAAATAAAACAGGGCCCTATTGTCTATGGATTTGTCCAGGTTCTTGATGAATATGTTGCCAACTCCAGACTTTCTTAAGCGGTCATCTGGCTGTGACCACATGAGACGGAAGGGTTTGCCATTAATCAGATCGAAATTCATGGTGTTCAGGGCCCACTCGGCATCCGCAGGAAAGCGGAAATTCACATAGCCGTAGCCCAGGGGGCTGCGGGTCACCGGGTCACGGCAGATGCGTGTGAAGCGCAGGGGGCCAGCAGGCCTGAACTTCTTATACAGCATGTCCTCGGTGACATCTGGGTCCAGGTCCCCCACGTACAGGGCGGCCTTGAGGTACTTCTTTTTCTTGCCAGCAGGATTCGGCTCCCCACTCCCCATCTCTCTGAGCGCAGGGAGGAGGGTCTCTTGGGAGAGAAAACAGAGAGAGAGAGAAAGAAAGAAAGAAAGAAAAAAAAAAGGCTGCTTTGCTTAAGCTATGGGCCAAACAGCTGTTCAGAAACAGAAAAGGCCAAGGCTGGCAGGCGAAGGGAAGCTAAATGCAGATTCAGAGTCACTGTGGAGGCTGAGAAAATGAAGTTCAGAAACAGCTGGTCAGCAGACTCAGAACAAACGCACCAGACAAAAAGGCACCCCAATAGCGAATCTGTTCTCCCTAAAGGGGCCTGACGATTTTCACCCATCTCAAACGGGAAATCCTTGTCACAGGCCAGGCATCGGGAGGAAATTTTCCCTTTTCCCCGATTCAATCGTTAAAGCAATCATCCAGCAGCTGGCCGGCTCCGCACATCTAGCCTTGCCTGCATCGAGGCCTCACGCCCCGTTTTCTGCAGAAACGCAGGCCCCGAGCTCCTGCGGGTGCAAAAATGATAGCAACCAGGGCAGAGGCCGAGCGTGTATTCCTCCGCCGGCTGCCGGCGGCTTCGCCACTCAGCCAGGCCGCCGCGCGCTCCGCGTCAGCGAAAGGGCAACGCTAGACACACTTGGGGCTCTGGCCCCTTAGCAGGCAGGCTGCGGGCAGCGCAGCGGACAGAGAGACAGACACACAGACACCCGCGCGGGAGGGACCGCGGACCGCCCAGATACCCAACATGCCCACTGGGTACGGACCGAGTGAGGCGCGGTGATTTCGGCAGCCTGAGGTTCGTGGCAGGTCCGGAGGGACTGACTGGCAGACGCGCAGTTGGGTCAGCTCCGACGCGAGGCGGGTCCGGACAGATGCGGGGCGGAGTCAGAGGAGAAGGGCAGATGCGCAGCGGGCGGGCCCAGCGTGGACCCGATGGACTCGGTGGTTGCTTGTAGCAGGACAGACCGACCCAGGGACCAAGCGCTTGTAGCTGTGGTTGGGGTGGGGGGTGGCAGGGGCGGGCGGGGCGTGAGGAAACCCGGAACCGTGTTAAGTAACTTCCCGCTTGCTCTGTGCCAAGGTTGAAGAGAGAGAGAGAGAGGGAGAGAAAGGAAAAAAAAAAATTAGAAGGCTTGTACAGTTTTCTTTCCTTCCGTAGTGGAAATACATTTAGACTGCTCATCCCAAACAATCACAGAAGGAAGTGAACCTGCATGGAAGAAACTTGTAAGTTTAAAAAAAAAAATCATATTTGCTTGGGAACACTTCCCTTAGTCCATTGGAAAGTCAAGGTTAACAGCTGTATTGCACCCTCAGTCTCATTCTAAATCATCACAAGGTCAAACACAACACAAAGCCAAATTATGCTTGCCCTTGGGCCTTACTTCATCAATTTCCAACGCAATGATAGCATTATCCTAGATGGTAGGCAAACAGTTCTTTTCTTTGCTGTGCCGGTAGTTAGATTTAAATGAGAGCCGCAGACTTGATTTGTTGATGCCTAGCACCACAAAGCATTGAAGCCACATCATAGTCGCAAAATTTTAGTTAAGGCGTTAACAGTTTCAGAAGCAATATAGAAATAAACATAACGAATGGCTGTGGATGAAGGGAACACATCAGGTCTAGGCACTTAAAACAAGTTCAACATACTGGACGATACTAAATCACTGCCGAAAAAATGCAGTGAGGTTAGACTCAACTCCGAGGTTGCCCAAGAACCGGTTTCGGAAGTGTTTTGCACGTTAGTTGGAAACTGATTCCCAAGCAGAGCCAGAAACTGGATCAGGCGCTCTGCGGGGGGGATGCGCTGTGCCAAGCGGGCTCCTCATTTACTTGCACAACCTCTGCCCCCCCTCACCCCCCACCGCTTGAGAATTTTTGAAAAAAAAACATTTGGTGAAAAAGAAAGACAGACAAGGGCATGGGCTAAATAGTTATTACAACTAAGAGGAATTTCCCCAGCAACAGGTTAAATTCAGCTGTTTCACTCAGATTTTTTTTTATATTGAATATTGTTGTTAGGCCCTCTAGTTAGGTAAAGATGATGTTCATTTGTACTAATTAATTACTCATGAACTTAGCCGTTTTATTTATTGTGTCATTTTACCAGATTCCTCAGTTTCTTCATTTGCTAAAACAGAGATTGTATTAAAAAGGCAAATATGAGCAAAATTAGAGATAGACCAATAAACGTGTCTTTTAATAGACACACTGACCAACATATGGAAACACTAACAAACATCTGTTTAGTGTTTTGTATGGTGAACATATGTTTATAAACAACTTTCCTTACATGTGTGATTACCAATGGCTATAATTCTGCTTTTGATTTTCTCACTTAAAAATATTACATCAGGCCTAGCACGGTAGCCTAGCAGCTAAAGACCTTACCTTGCATGTGCCAGAATCCCATATGGGCACCAGTTCTAATCCAGACAGCCTTACTTCCCATCCAGCTCCCTGCCTGTGGCCTGGGAAAGCAGTCAAGGACAGCTCAAAATCTTGGGACCCTACAGCCGTATGGAGACATAGAAGAGGCTCCTGGCTCCTGGCTTCGAATCAGCACAGCTCCGGCCATTGTGGCTGCTTGGAGAGTGAATCATCTGATGGAAGATCTTTGTCTCTTCTCCTCCCTGTATATCTGACTTTACAATAAAAATAAATAAATCTTAAGAAAATATTATTTCATTGAAAAAGCCACATTACATAACAGTACCTATGCAAAAATTTTCATCTGTTAATGTGAACATCTACAGGTTGACCATATATAAATTTAAACAGACATTTCTTATACATGATAAAATTGGATTGGTAAAAAGCACAATTTTTCAAAGATTAATTTTGATTGGAAAGCGAGATATACAGAGAGCAGGAGAGACAGAAAGAAAGATCTTCTATCTGCTGATTCACTCTGCAAGAGGCCACAACAGCCAGAGCTGAACCGATCTGAAGCCAGGAGCCAGGAGCTTCTTCCAAATCTCCCATGCAGGTGCAGCTTCCCGGGGCTTTCCCAGGCCACAACCAGGGAAATGAAGTGGCTAAGACACAAACCAGCACCCATTTGGAATCCTGACTCATGCTAGGTGAGGATTTTATCCACTAAGCTATTGCACCTGCCCTAAAAACCAACTTCAAAGTAACTTTCTTTTGTTACTTACCAGCAATTTTGAGGGCCTTGCACTTTGGACGTTCTAAACTGCAGTGACATCTTTTATTCTGATCTTTTCAAGAGGCAAAGAGACATGAAGACCAAGAGAGAGCTTCCAACATCTTGTTCACTTTCTAAATACCTGTAAATGGCCGCAGCTGGGCCAGGGCAAACCCAGAGACTTGGAACTTAATCCATGTGTCCTATATGCCTAGTAGGGACCCAGATGCTTGGGCCACCACCACTGTGTCTCCTTGGTTGCAATGTGGGGAAACTGGAATGGGGATTCACAAGTGAAATAGGAGTATGTTAACTTTCATCTTAATGACTTAGGTCAATTGCCTGGCCTTACAGTGAACATTCAAAGAAAAATCTCTTTGTTTGAAAGGTAGAATTAATAAGAAGGAAGGAAGAAGAGAAGGGGGGGATGAGAGAGAGAGAGAGAGAGATCTTTCAATCACCAGTTTACTCTGTAAACAGCTACCAGGTGGTTGATCACCCCAGGCCCTGCCCTGCTGCCTGGAGGATGTGGCTTAAGCCTAAACTTCCCCATGGCCTGAGGCACAGCTTTCAGGCCTACACATGGAGTATGACCTCCAACATGGCTACAAGGTCAAGGGGAGTACACTTGGAACATGGCTGGAAGATCTAGGGAAATGGACGTGTCATACAGTCAATTACACTGTCTTTGGTGGGCATGGGATCTGCTGGAAGGCTCCCTCCTGCCCTCCCTTTGCTTACCCTTTAAAATCTGTAACCTGTGCATAATAAAGCGGACATTCCTCACCAGCTTGTCTCCGGTGGTTCTTGATCTGCCTCACCCTAGGTAATCTGGGGCCGGCTGGCAGGCCTAAATCCTGAGACTACCACACAGCTAAAATAGTTATGCAAGGCTAACGTCAGAAGCCTGAAATTTTTCTACGTCTTCCATGTGGTGCAAGGGGTCAAGTATATGGGTCATCTTCTGTTATGTTCCTAGGCACATTTAGCATAGAACTGGATCATAAGTGGAGCAGCCAGGACACAAACTGGTGCCCTTATTGTTGGCATTGCTGGTGCTGGCTTACCCACTGAGACACAATGGACTTTATCATAAACTTTTATTATTAGGTCAAATTTTTGAAATATTAACCACTGTAAAGTCAAAAGTAGAGTTTGCTCTGATAAGCTAATGATGGAAAAAATGGACAACTGGCATTCTTAGTGGATTCAACAGACATTATTATTTATAGTTGCCAGTCATATGCCAGCACGGGTGGCAGGATAGGGAGATCGGTAATTTATTTATTCAGCTTTTTCCTTTATTGGCATTTTATATTGTTTTGCCGATAAAAAAAAAGTCTCAGCTATGTGAATTGCTGAGACTTCATTATGAAAGCAGAGTTGTTGCTACCTTATATGAAGACTGGAATGACTGAACAAAATATTATAAATTTAAAACTTTATGACCTATGCCTTGTCTCACTTATTTCTAGAGGGAAGTAATTCAGCATGAAGAATTTTGTGCAAACAGGCATTTTTGTTTTCAGTTTTGAGGCCAGAGCAATTCTTGTTATTTATGTCCAATAATTTTGTCTTAAATCGTGTACTGGACAGTAATCTTGATGTACTTTGATAAGATCAATATTAAAAATGATTTTTCGGTCAGATTTTCCAATAAATGAGAACTAAGAACTCAACATCTTAAAAAGATGAAATTAAGAAAAACATCCTGTCAGCAACAGCATCAAAAAGAATAAAATACTTAGAGCTGTATACTGAAAACTTCTAACCATCCATGAGTGAAGTCAGACACAACGCATGGAACATTATCCTTGACTCATATATTGTTCTTTTGTCCATATTATCAAAATATTTTGTGGATTCAATGTAATTCCTGTCAAAATCTT